ACTAACAAAAGAAAGTGTCTGTCCCTCAAAGTCTCTCAAATTGCCAAACAAATCAGATACACAGGGTCATACATCCATTCTTTCAGCCTCCTTATATGTTGCAGTCAAGGAGAACCTTGCTCCCCCATTGGAAGTGCTAATTAGAAAACCCACACAGCAGCCAAAAAAAAAAAAAAAAAAAAAAAAAAAGGAGTCCAACTATGGAGCAACATGATGGTGGTCTGGACATTTAAAGGGCAGCGCCATGCTGCATTAGAGAGTGGCCAGGAAGAGACAGCTTGGTGAAGGGTCACATGTGTGTGTGGGAGACATGATCCCTTGCACCAGGAGTCAGTGCTGTTTACTGGAACGCAAACCCGTGTGTGGTCTATCCTGCTTGGGCTGGATGACCCAGACCAGGAAGGAGCAAATTCCTGTTCAGAGGTATTTTTAAAGGTTCCACTTCATAAACAGGCTGAAAATGATAGCCTTTCAGCCTCAAAGGATCAACAGAACAAAAACTTAGCACAGAAAAAGGCATTTTCTTAGCTACACAATCCACTGACACTCAGAGACAACCTTACAATCAGTCTCTGCACCTTACAGAGCATCGTTTCACAGCTGCTGTTGGGTCAATCCTCATGTCCTACTCGGAAGGCATGAGACAGTGATGGTTCAGGGGGAAAAAAAAGCCACAAACACCACACTGGTATCTACACATATGCGCAGTCACTGAAGTTGAAAGAAATCACTTGGGCAATCTAACAATCATACTGGATTTTGGAAGTTCCAATACCATAAAAACACCTAACATGTTCAGAAACAAGTCACCAGAAAGGCATATTAGAGATGAAACTGCACCTCAGGATACATCAAGTTCCTACATCCTTGTCAATTCCCACTTCTCTCCACCGTGATGGTTGGGAACCTGCACCTGCCACTAGCTCCCCTTGGAGTAGGCAACACCGAGCAGCTCAGACACAGACTCACATTCTATCATTAAACACTTCTAAGCACCAGCTTCAAAAGGAGAAAGAAGAATGGAAATAGAGGATGTCATTTGACCCTTGAATCTCAGAGTGGTGAGATTATGTTTAACAGTAAGTTTTCACCAACAAGCTTCAAGTCTTAAAACTTGCAGACAGGGCTGCAACTTCTGCAGGCTACAGGCCCCAAAAGCTCATCTCCCTCTCCATGTCTTATGTAGGCTGCAACAGACAATATGGATGATGCAGCTAAAAAAGCAAGGACATGCAAAGCAAGGCTGCTATTCATACAAGCACTTTTCTGTTTTAAGTGCGATTATTATTTGTGGATGCATAGACAAAGTATGGAAGCATTTTTTCCCAAATATACTTAAGCACAGACTTACAGCAGCAGAGAAGGACATCCATTAACTGCCCTTTTGTATCTTTCCAGAGCTGAAACAAAGAAATAGTCCCTCCTGCATCCTAAAACTGGCCACATATGTTCTTGTATCCCCTAGGAATATGAATAGTCTGAGAAACCTTTCGCAGGCACAATCTCTCTATAAATGATAACAATCTGCCTGGCAATAGTAGTTACCTGCCTCCACCTAGTGGGTAAAGGATATTCTGCACTAGCATTTGGATACTGCTTTGAGGATCACTAAGAAAAGCATCCTAAGGGAACAACCAGATGTCTAAGAGCAGCATGCCAATAAAATAATTCTTGTTATAATCTCAGATAAATTATATCTATCTAGAGTTAGACAGCTGCAGACCCTACTTTCTGACAATTCATGTACAGACCAGAACATTTTCCAAAACTTGTGCAGAGCTCAATGAAGGGGTGATGAGCATTTCCATTTACTGTTCCCAGCAGTGGCATTTAGACAGTCAGGCAGCAATACAGTTATGTGAAAGGCTGGCATACTGTGAACACAATTCCACTTCTGGGTAAAGCATTTCTTGAGCATTGAAATAAATGAGACTAACCAGATGCACAAGGTTCTGTTCCAGGTGCAATATGCAACTATCAGAGGACAGAAATTTGCATGTTAGTATGATGCAATGCCAATGCAGAAGCAAGTATAGCTACTGGCCAGTAGACAACAGGACGACCCTTTTGCTGCATCCTTCCTGTGAAACATTTCCTCATCATAGCAAAGATGAGGCTCTAACAAGTAAATTGACATTCTCTCAGTTACTTTTCCTGATGATATTTAATTTTTTTTCATTTTAGAGAACAAAAACAACTTCAAGAAGGGAGTGGGGGGCACAGAGTCTATTTTTTAAAAACACAACTGGTTTAAGAAGCATGCGATTCCTTCAGCAAGGCCTGCTACATAAGATAAGCATTCTGGATGTAGACAGTTGGAACAAAAGTGACTTAAATTTCCGGTGTTAATACACAGAGCTAAAACCCCCCGGCATTTAACAGCAAACACAGCAGAGCATTCAAAATCATTTATGAGTTCCCAGTGTGTGACTAAGCTACCAAAGTTGGTAATGGTCATATTTGAACTTCTTTCCATAGTCTAATTCAATCCTTTGGGTACCCAGCTGCAATTAGTTTAATTCAAAACCTAATTTACACAAAGTTAAAGACAGCTGATTTTATTTAAATCACCACTACTAGTCTCTTCATCCTATTATCAGGCTACTGAATTTTCTGAGCATGTGGTGGGTTGATCCTGGCTAGACACCAGGTGCACACAAAAGCTGCACCACCACTCCCCTCCTCAGCTGGACAGGAAAAGACAATATAGCAAGACTCATGTATTGAGATAAGGACAGGGAGAGATCACTGACCAGTTACTGTCACAGGCAAAACAGACTCAACTTTGGTAATAAATTCAATTAATTTCTCCATGAAATCAGACTGGGATAATAAGCAATAAATCCAAATCTTAAAAACATTTTCCCCTACCATTCTTTTCTCCCTCAGCTTAACTTGGCTCACAAACCCTCCACCTTCTCTTCTCTGAACTACTGGGGGATGGGTAATGGTCAGTTCATCCCATGTTTCTGCTGCTCCTTCTTCCTCACACTCTTCCCCTGCTCCAGCCTGAGGTCCCTCCCATGGGAGACAGTATTCCATGAGCTTCTCCAACATGACTCCCACAGGCAGCAGCCTCTCTCAAACTGCTCCAGCATGGGTCTCTTCCACAGGGCGCAGTCCTTCAGGAACAGGCTGCTCCAGCATGGGGCCCCTGCAGGGTCACAAGTCCTGCCAGCAAACCTGCTCCAGCATGAACTCAAAAGCTCTGATATCTGTCTGCCCCAGAATTAATTCTTTTTTTTCAACACCCTCAGGAAGAGTAAGCTCTCTTGCTTATAAACTCCAGCCCTTTCACTGGCTACCAGTTAGCCACAAGTCCAAATTCAAGCCACCTCCATTTTAATATTGTTTCTTTCCCATCCTGCCATGTCCCACCTTGTTGCTTTGGGACTGTAAAACATAATACTGCACCGTTTCACAACAGCTTAAACCCACCAGGGCTGGTTCAGTACTGCTGTCCTTACTTCCTGTACAAGCAGAGATGCTGAAAAGCTGACTTATCTCCTCCCATCAGGACAGGACAGGCAGCAGGGCTGCAACAGTCTCAACTTGCATTGGTTTCAGCTGACACAAAACAACCTCCCTGTACTCCAGCTGCAGCTCAGCCATCAGTCTGTTCCAGCTTTCAGCACAAGCTTCTTCTCAGAGTCCTTCTGCAAAGTCTGACAAAACCTGTCCACAGACATACATTTACATACATTCTAATAAAGCCAGACAGTCTCACTGTGCATGTTACAAGGATGATGACTGCAATGCAATGGCTCCCTCTGTCCAAAAGATACAGTGTTCTTTTAATATCGAAGTCTTGTCATAAGTATTTTGACTCTAGAGGGACAGAAAAGCCACTAAAAGAGATTTACAGTGTGATGCAACCATGTTAATCATATCTTGTATTTCAACCACAAGATAATTTATCTTGACCATACAACCATAGCATTTTAAAATAAAATAGTGCATTAGAATTGCCAAGAGCCTCATCCCACAGGTTTTGCATTTCTTGATAAACCTGCACAATTTTACTATAAGCCAGTTCCTTTACACACCTCAGAAACTCTACACTGACAGGAATAGAGCTCAGATACATAATTTTAGTCAGGCTATTTCAGAGCTTAACAAGATTATTCCAAAATGCAGTACTTATAATGCTTCACACATCAAAAGACTAGTTAAGGTATGAGCATGACAAAAGACATACAACTTCAGAGACTCAGACTTCACTCAACCATCTGCTGGATCCTGTCACATTCTTGTACAATTGCACACAGTTCTGTGGCATTCCAAATTCAGGATTACATGAAGTACCTTCAGTTGAAAGCTATACCACAATTGTATTATCTACGAGGTGGCGAAACTGCAGCAAGTATACAAATATTGAATTAATTATCTTTAAATAGAGCTGCACTTAAAACTTCATACACAGGGACAAAACCTTTATTATGACTATATATAAATACTTCACAAAATGCCACGTATTGTAAGAAACATTCAAATGTTCAAAATGTGTTTTGCAGAAACCAAGCCAGGAAGTATGGAGTGGAGAGCAAGTAAAAAGAGTATTTACATCCAAATGACTAATTTTCTCATCCCATTGCACCTATGTCAAATTCTTACGCCTTAACGGATGACAAATTTTCATGTCTTACACTCCACAACTGGAAACATTATCTTGCAAACCATGTATTTGGTTATAAAGTACATCTGTTCTGCTTTTCCCAGAATTGCTTAGTTAACATATTCTGTAGTATGCCATGCTGATTCCTAAAATTATGCTTTTAAACACAAGACTAAAGTGCTACAAATTCAGATGAAATAACTGTAGGAAAAAAACAAGTCAGTTAGCAAAGCCTAAATTTCATGTAAAAATGCCTGATAAATCGTTAAAAGGAGAAAAACAGCTTGTAGCAGATTTTTAGTTCGTTTTGCCTTTTTTTTTTAAACTGAAAAATGAAAACTGCAATACATATAAAGTAGTACCTTGTTACATCCAGATATCATACCTGTGTGAAGTATTTTCCATCTTGTTTCAGGACTTTCATTGAGAGGTCAAGAATCAACCGCAGAAATTCCCATGTGGAATCTGCATATAGAGAATGATTGAAAAACAGAACATGTTACTGGATTGTTCATTTATTATATATTCAAGACTTGCAAAATATCCACTTTTTAAAAAGCAGCTACTCTGTGCCTTAAAGAAGAAAATGAAAAAAATCCTGGTAAAAAACCCACAAACAAACCATACCCAATGGCAACGATGGTGGAAGTATCTGTCTTAATTCACGGTAATTTTCTAGAAGTTTTCAAGAAATTATTAAGTGAGGAAAATTTACAGGATTTCTCAAGAACTACATGAATTCATGTTACTCTGGAATAAGAGCACGGTTGAAGAGTTCTAGGCACTTCCTAATCTCTTCTAACATTCAAGAAAAATTCAAAAGGAACAGACGTATTCTTATTCTTCGCCTCTCAGATTTGCCATTAAAAAGGTAAAAATTGAGGTATTTTTGCTGGAAACTTATGCACCAGAGGGACAGAAATGTTGAAAACTGTCAGAAGATTAAGAAAATAAATTAGAAGATTAACCTTCTTCTGGAGATGTGGAGATTGGAACAGCCGTCAGATCATTAATTACATAATCAAACATTCTTCCTTCTTTGGCATACCTCTTCAGCACGGGAATACAGTCTTCAATTAGAACCTGCAAGAATGAAATACTGTAGCTAGTCCTCAAAATACCCTAGAACGTCTTAGTCCATCTTCCTCTTTCTTTGTAAGCTATGGCAACAAACATTCTATTTCACATTCCTTAAAAGCTATATATGTAATTATTTATAAGAGTCTGAAGAAGAAGAGCTAAAGTATTTTGATGCTAATATGCACTTCCAGTACAAATCCCGCCGCCAGCTATTAAAATTTGCAAGTGTCATAATAAAGGAAAAAATTCTCTCCAAAATTAAGAAAAGTCAGTAGACTTGTCCCCAAAACTTGGCCATAGCAGCCTTCCAGGCTAGGTATAAGCAATTTGAAACATTACTTCTAATGAAAGAAAACAAAGACATTACCTGATAGCACTCTCCTCTCAGATTGTCTAAGACATCTCCACATGTTTTACGCATGTATTTTCTACACCCGTCAATCACCATTTGGTCAATGTTTGAAGCTTGTTAAGGCATAGTACAGTTCAGAAATAACAGAGGTTAACAGTTCCTATTTCTTCAGAAACAAATTCTCAAAAAGCTGCCATTCTCATATACATATTGCAATACCCAACCTTATGTACTGGCCTCCAGATTGAGCTAGAGGTTTAGAAAGTGCTTATTCTTGGGTTTAACCAGTACTTTTGATACCTTAGGTTATGACTATTGTGATAGCCTGAAATGTGAACTAGAAGACTATTAAAACCCCCATAAAGTTAAACTAGGTTAAGACTTTAACCTACATTTGTAAAACATTTTAAAAAATAATTTTAAAACAATTATTTCTCATTTTAACAAAGGGATTCCAAAACCCAGGATAATCAACATTTCATACGGCTAACAGTGGTTCACATTCCAAGCCATCTGAAATGTTGAAAACTTGATTGGTATCGGTGTTTTTAAAACCAGATTGGTCATTCTGCCACCAATATAAGTCCTGACAGTCCTATTGATTAAACGTTTTTGCTTCTAGGCACTATTTTTCAATAGCTTTCTCCAGAAAAAACAGAAGAATCCAAGGCAACAGAACTGAGCCCAAACCACAGACTTGACAGACCTGTCTTCTGTTGTCAGAGACAGCATCAGCCTGAAGTGTTCCTTTCCAGTTTTATGCAAACTGCTACTCAGTTATAGCATGGATTAGGAACTTGAAAGCAGGTGCTACATAATGGTGCACAAATATACAGTCACTGGGTCTTTCTAAGTTGACAAAAAAATTCCATTTTAGAACATATCCCTTCATGCCAATCAAAACCTGACAGTTACCTATGCTCAATGCTAAGGTATCAACAGAAATCACAAGCTGAAAAATGTTGAAATGAATGACCAATAACATTTGTCAAAGGATATCTCTACCATCGTAACCATCTTTGGCTTCAGTTTGACTATCTCATATAATATACCTCCATCACCACCTCCGAGGATTAGCACTTCTTTCCCAGTGTAGTCTTCCTTTCCACTGCCCATTATGGCTTGAGTATATGCCAGGTCACTCTCTGCCAGATCTGAATGGAAGACAGAAAGAGTTGGACAGAAATATTACATCTTTAGTTCTTCTCATTAATTGGTATTAATCCAAAGGTGATATAATGCAGACCAAAGCAAGAGCATCCACAGAAACTACCTAGCTCCCAGAGACAGTCCAGGCAATGAGATCCTCCTCAGAAACCCATACAAGATTTCTCTAATTCTCAATGCAAACCCAGCAGTGGCTACCTCAGCATTAGGAAGTACTATGCAGCAAGAGAAGCCAAGTGGTAGAGCAAAACTGTCAGTAGTTAGGACTTGATATCCACACCTGACACTTCAGTGGATTTTTACCTCAGACTAGTCCTGCAAGAGGTAAATCAGGAAATTTTTGAAAACACACTGTGGACCCCAGCTAAAAAGAGCAATCTAGATGCACACCCTTGGATCTCTGCATGGAAACAAATATGACCACTATCACCCACCTGCTTAAGGGCCCTGAAGCATGCCTTCTGTTGATGTGTTCAGCATTAGCTTCAAAGCAGGCAAGAACACTCCTAGGCTGTAACAACAGATCTGAGCTGCAAGGGCAAAGCTTTGAGCAGCAGCACATCCTGGCATATCATACCATTCTGCCTGGCAATCACCACTTAGCTTGTAAGTGCACAATAACAAAATGAGACTAAGCAGTATTTTAAAATCCCACCATGGAAGGTAAATAAGTAATGCCATATTTCCCTTTCTATGAGGCACATTGTGACAACATTTAAACAAAATCTCATCTCCATATTAAACTCTGATGAAGATTTCTGGCTGAAAGCATGGAATACCTAATTCAGTGACTTCGAATACAATTCTATCTGAATTAGAAAATACTTTGCTAATGAATTCAGTAACAATGCTTTTCAGCTGCCATCTGCACAGAAGTCCCCCAGACAGTTGCAGAAAGCTAATTGAATTGTTAGAGGTACTTCTGATGATTTCAAAAAGCTAGAGTTAAATATCTTAATTACTCTGCCATTAGAGAGAAATTGGGTATTCTATCCCTAGGCAGCAACATCCCTCATTTACCAGTCTGTACTTTTCAACATAGGAACTGAGAGATTTTACAAAGCATACTCCTTGTTGCCTGGATTTTCTAGCAAACAGCAGCCTTATCCAGCTTAAAAGAACAGTACCTCACCTTGTCCTAAGTTCACCTCTAAAAATACTAAGATCAGCAGGCACAAAGCACCACACATAAAAACCCTCACATAAAGGTTGGGTCACTGTCCATCAACTTAAGAGATCAGTTGGGGATTTTGAAGAAGATTACAAAAATGTCCACCAATAAAGCAGCTAAATGGTTTACACAACAGATGCATCTCACAAAGCAGGAAATTCCCTTAGAGAGCCAAGGGAACAGCACGTTTATATACACACACACACCCCAGCTCCTGCTCATTCACATTTCTTTAGAATTTCAGTATTTTGAAGACCAACAAAGTAGCTTGTTTTACTGTGAAAGAGAAGCTCTCAAGAGGTTGGACTGGCAACAAACAGGAAAAAGCTCATATGAGAAAGGGAGTAGAGCAAGTTCTGCTAGAGCACACAATCTTCTATGCCCCTGCACCGCAGCAAATACATAAACTTTGGAAAAAGACAACTTTTTATATTCTAGATTTTACACTAGTCAGCATTTCTGATTAGCATACTTAATACACAGGAACAGATATGTGTACATGCATCTACATTGTTTCTAGCATCAGAGCCTTGACCCTTAGTCATCTATTACAACTGCCATAGCAGGATAGAAAACCACTTTCAACATTATCATGCAAAAGATCCTCAAATGACATGATACTTACTAACATCCCCACTGAGAATAAGAATATTCCCAAACTGTTTTGAATGCAGAATTTTAATATTCTGAAAAGGTGAATCTTCATCATAAACAACTTGATCTATGTCATACTCCACCAGGCGCCCATCAGCTGTGGGCCAGTATCTGTCAATGACTCCTCCTCTCAAAATGGCTGGCAACCTAGGGGAAAAAAAAAAAAAAATCGAAGAAGAAAGATTACAAAACATTTGGAATATTTATTTTTAAAAATATCCACTCTAAACATTCTCTGAATTCACCCTAATAAATAAATAAGATTTACAAGGAGGAGCTAAGAAAACTTGTCACATTTAACACTCAACACATATAAGAAACCTACCAGCCACATGTTAAATCTACATAACCTGCTAAGGCACAGATGACATAAACGGTTCTTCTTTATGTATAACTTCTACAATGTGCACATGAATCTCCTAAGAGAGGGAATTTACTTGACATACAGCCTCTTATAGCAGAATCAGCTCATGACTAGAAATGAATACAATACAAAAGTGGAATGCAGACAAAAGTAACGTGATAAAACCTATTCCCACCTTCAGCTCAGCTAAGAATGCCATTTCTTTGAGATGAGTGAATCTCACCCTTCTGAAGCTGTACTGAGACACACTTTAACACAGAGAAACACCAAAAGTGAGCTATTATAGCGTTTCAAACCGAGCCAGGTCACCCCGTAGTGTATAAGCACAACCCTTAATATGAGTTGACAGTTTGCATTACTTTATAAAAGCAGCTCAAGTATCTGCATAAATTTTTTGGCTTTATTGTTTGTGTTGGTTTGGTTTTTAATTCCAGAGAAAAGCATCTTGGTTCAAATCAGTGTTTCACCTATAAAGACAAACTATATTTGAAATGACAGTGAATGATCAAAGCTATTGCATTCCACTTTAGGCAAAATGCGCAGGTTTATCAAATTTCCCCCACGCACTTCAGTGTTAAGGTCTTTTTTCCAAAGGAGGGTGTGACAGCCCAGACACAGACAAGATTCTTCTAAATTCACTTGCGATTCCCAATAAACATTTCAGGAATACTTTCTACCCTCAGTGAGCCGCGAGATGGCAGCACATGCTGAGAACAAGAGCATCTACTCATCCCCTCAACAGAGGCAGGAAAAACGCTTCCCACTACATTTATTCTAGCGGCGCCGCATGTGTGAAGCTAACACCAAAAGGATAAAAAAAGAAAAACAAAAAAGTAACAAACAAAAGACACTGAGGTGTGTGTGACAAGAGCCATACCAGACACACTGTTGTAGAAGGTTCATCTTCCTATGCTAAGGTAACCAAATTATCTAGATCACTTCAGGCAACGTTCTTCTGACACATTTTTAACAAGTTCCTATCACAGAGATTCTACAAACTCCCAATATCAGATTTCAGCATCAAAATAACCTTAGAGAGCTTCTCCTCCATAAACACATACACAAGACCATCTATGTTTGTACACTCTGCATCTTGTGAGGCTTTACCAGGTTGAAGTAAAGCACAACAAACACCTCTGTGTTTTACATACAACTGTTAAACAGAAATAACAATACTCAAGGAATAACATAACTTTTCAAATCACTATGACTTTACTTGTGGTCCTGCATAGCCTTCAGATTACTTTCTGCTGTAGTACTGCTTAACTGTTTTCCCATTTTGTAGTTTGCTCCTTGGCTGTACTGAATCTTGTTGATTTTACACTTGCTTGTTACTTTTCTTAACTCATTTCCATTTCTGACTATGTTCCTTTGAGCACTCACTGCACTTTCCACGGAGTGAATGGCTGCAGTAAGTGCTCCCTGGCTTCAAGGTGTCAGTAACTGCCAGGAAGACACCAACATAAGACACCAACATAAGCCACGTCCAGCTTGAATGTTATTTCATCAGCAGGCCACGAGCCACAATTTAAATCCTTAAAGTTTAATATATAGCCTTGAATTTAAGCAATCCAAACTGACAGTGCTTGCAAAGCCTCCATCCCTTCAGTTATCAGTTATATTACAAAAGTTTGCTACAAAACATTCTACCTTCTTGGTAGAGCCCTAAACACACAGGTTCCACTGGGATTTTTGCCACACATGCCCACAGTGAGCACCATGAGGCCGAGCTATGAAAGAGCTGCAGGAAACCTTGTGAGTGCAGGGTCTCCTCCATGGGCTTGAGCTTCATTTTAGCTCTAACCTTACCCCGGTCTCTGTGAACAAGCTGTACTGCAGCTCTATCCATGCCTGCCCAAATCTTTCACCTATCCCTGACACCCAGCCTGCCCTCAGAGCTGTGTCAGTACTACAGCCCAGTCTGCTAGTCACAGGGCTGGGTCTGGCCCTGGTCACCACCACCAGCCCTGTTCACCTTCTCCATGAGCTGTGGGATGTGGCCCATAGGGTACAGTTTATGCCCTGGCCTCTTCTCCTGCCACCTCTGACTCCCCAGCCCTCCCAGAACAGTCTGCTGCTCCTGCTTTCTGGTTGCATTTTCTCCCACTGTTTCATGTAACCATTGCAACAAACATTAAAAAAAATTCTTTCCCAAAGTAACAATACTGAAGACAAAGCTTAACAAAACAACAAACCTCCTAATATTTTCAAGTTTGCAATAAAACAACTTTTAAAATATGGGGGAAAAAAACCCCCATGAATAAACTCATACTCCAGGCTATTCACTGCAGGACAGCAAAGCATAATTTGATTATTTTTTTTTAGTCACTACACAGATAAGCTACAACAGAAGCAGAGATACACGAACTTACCGTTTCACCCTTTTTATTTTACCATGAAACAATTCTTTCATTCTTTCTTCTACTTTGTTTAGAAGCTGGAAAAATAGCAAACAAGAGGTAGAATTTGTAGGTGATCACTTGATGTAAAATACCTATTAAATTAGGCTACCTGGAAGGCAGCAAGAAGTAGCACCTACACTGACAGACTTTGAAATCTAACACTAGAAGTCAATGTAACTAGTTGGCCTCCTTAACCTGACTGCTAGCAAGAATGAGGATCCTATAGCAGCTGTCATCACTGCATTTAGCTGTTCCTCCAGGACAAGACAGCCAGACCTTTCAGGCACAGCCAAAGAAGGAACATGAGAACCCTGCAAGGTTCCATTCTTGCCAAAGCAGTGCCCTATTCATTCCTCTACAATATCTGATGTCTGGAGCCTTTATATCATGGCAGATTTTTTTTTCTAAATATGAGAAAAAAAAAGTATAGAGATTCCCCATCTCTCAGAATAGAGAAGGAAATAAAGCCATACACTAATACACCAGGTTGCGCATCACTCCTCCCTCACTGCCCTGGGTACCTGAAGGGACCCAAGCCCTAACCAAGGCTGCTCTATCTTTACAACTTTTACATCAAAGAACACAAGGTCCAGTGCCTGCAAAAGAGAGTGTGTTTGCACTCACCTGTATATGCAACTTCAACAGGTGTTACTGCTCCTCATCTGCAAGCATTCAAGTTTGAACTAACATTCTAAAGTCTTTTACCAAGATATACCCTGACAGACCTGAAGACAAGAAGGGGCTCCCCATGCAGTTAGATAAGCAGCACTCATACCTGATCAACTTCTTCTCGTCCTTTCACATGATCATTGTAGCTCTGCAGATCCACCAACACTAACCCATGAGGGTGAATTCTCAAATTGGCAAAACTGCAACACAGAGAAACAGTGATGATAAATTTATTATCAAAAACTCATAGCAAGGAAAGAAGATCTGAAATAAGTTACATTAAATTCAGAATGCATAGGGGTTTTGCCAGCATCTCTGTTAGCAGTGCCAGCTTCAGTCTTCCTCTGCAAGACATTAAATCAGCATGGTTGCAAGAACTTACCTGTCACTACGCAACTAATAAAATCAGCAGGCAGCAAGGCAGTGAAACAGGCTGTTTAAGCCAGAACAATCATGGTACAACAGGAAAATACACTGACTACTAGTCTCAACTTTTTGAATAAGGCCTGCTGGAACAGGTGTGGTATGTTTGTTTGGGCTTTTAAACTGAAATCAAGCCTTAAGAACACAACTGGTCACTCTCCTTCGCATTTTGTTTTCCTTCTCACTTGTGGGGAACATTCACTTGGGGTGGTTTGGTTTTTTTAATTTTACAGGAACTATTCAGAGATGCTGTTCACATTCAAAGCTGAGTGAAAATTTATAAATAAGAAACAATAAGCATCCTGAGGCAAGTCATGGCTTTGACTGGCAAAAAAACTGCAGGAGAAAACTCCCATTGGTGAATACAGATGCAAAGCAGACAGAACTCCTACTGTATATTTGTTACAGAAGCATTTAAAGACCAAAGAGCAAGGTTTCACCATACTAAGTGTCAGATGAACACATAATGGGCTTTCAAGGATTTGCAACAAACAAAACAAGAGATAAAGACTATCCAGAAGGTCACAAGAAAATAAAAACATGGTAGCAGATTGCCTTTCTGCGCTAGGGAGAAGACAAAAAGAAACAAAGCCTACAAGGGGATTATATAAAGGGAGGGAGAGGTATACACCAAAGAAAAAAAAAGGCAGAAGAGAGGATAAGAACAGGATCCGCTGAGCAAAAAAGGACATTTGGGGTTAGAAGTTCATTAGTACAACAGAGAAACCCCAGGTAAAGCCGTAGAGCTCCCTAAATATCCATTCTTTGCTTGTCCCCTATCACCCCACTGTGCCTCAAAGGAAAAACACAAACGAACTCTTGTTGGTAACTGCAAAAGGATCAAATTATGAAAATGACTGAAGCAATTCAAGAATAAAAACGCTTGCCAGCACTGGACAGCAGTGACCAGTAGTTGTGGTATGTTTAGAGCTGGTAGAGAAACTACTGTCATCCACTTCTCTCCAGAAGATGAGTCTAGGAAATCTCAGAGTTGCCTAAAGACTCTATACACAAGTCTTGACTCCAGAAGGAAAGATGTTTCTATACAACACACCTGTGCCCACTGTGCTTCCCCCTCCCCAGGGCCCACAGATCACCGCCATCCTTGAGCCATCCCTCCCTCCATCCCAGTGCTTGCCCTCTAGGTGTCCTCCTGCCAAGGGTTTTTGGTTAGGGAACACAAAAGCATACCAGAATCCTGTTTACATGATTTTCATGACAACTGGGGTTTATTTTGGGATGTGCCTGACTTGAAAAAAAACAAACAAATAAAAGTCAAGCATAGGAGTAAGAACAAACAGCTTTATTGCAAGAGTCCAGAAGATCTTATCTTCCGAGGGTTTTTTCCTAAAAGAAAGAAAGTAGAGCTCACTAGATGGAAGTACTGGTCACTCCAGCAGGCTTTGGACACAACCATTCACAGTGAGAAGGGATATTTCTGGTGAGGTCCACAGACATGCTCCAGGCCCTCAGCTGTGGCACTACAGCCAGAAATGGGTATATGCAGCTCATGAGACAGCACTGTTATCAAATTCTTTGAGAACTGGCACAGTGCCATAAATATTTCCACTGTTAGAAAAAAATTTTTATCAGTTTATTCCCATATTCCAGGAGTTGCTGTTGGCACAGATAAGCAAGAGACTGCTTGTCCCATGACTCCAGTTCTCTTTTAAATTCCTTTCCTGCAACAATCACAGAAATTGTCATAAGACTTGATAGCTGCCATGGCCTTCACTTCCCCTGAGACCGCATGAGATTCTCTGTAGGAAAAGTCACTGCCTCTGCTTTGGGGTGGGAAGCAAGGAATGGCAAAGGAAGTTGCTCTGAAAAGCACAACCACAGAACTTCAGATTTATAAGTTATATAACAGCATTAGAATACAGAGACAGTAATGCCACAGAACCATTATTCATTTCATCAAACTGTTACCCCTACCAGAATAGCAGAGTCCTGACACCTGGGGCAGGGTGGGAAGGATAAAAGGCAGACACAAGGCTAGAACAGTGTAGTGTGACAAAAATTGAAGTTCTAAGTGTCTGGATGATATTCTCACACAATTTATGGTAAAAAACTTGAACAAAATTCAAAGTTCTCAAAGAAGGCAATAGAGATCCAGGTTGATTGGTTATAAGTCACCTGGTTGAAAACAAACACCCAAAATAAGCTAAAATGCTTATAAAGATTTAAACAAACAGCAAACTGCACAAGTGTATCCAGAAAAGTGACCAGCCTAGTATTAAATAGTACTAAGGCAGTAGCAATAGGTCAAAGCTGAACCCACAAAAGACTTCAATCAGCAGAGAGAAAATGCTGTGCTAGCTTTTGTTACTTTACATTTGTCTGCTTGGCAGAATGCATGGGAATGCAGCTTTTCAGCAGCAGCAGCTATTTTAATATGTGGAGGAGTGTTCTTAAGAACAATGTTAATACAGTTTCTATTTTCTAACTATGAGAATACAGCAAAGATTACTTTGGAATCCAAATGAGATTAAAAACTAAGAAAAATTAATTTTTTTTCAAAAGTCTCCCCTCCTGCTTCCTGTCTTTCTGAAAAAGAAGACCTGTCACTTGTGGTGTGTGCTTGCATGTACTTTCATAAAAGCAGTAAGGAAAAAAGCTCAGTGAGGAGGTATCCTCTTCCTTTCCATCAGGCAAGGAAATCTGCATCTGCAACAGCCCCCACTGTAACAATGCTCCACTTGTGGCACTTATGCAGGTGCAACAACAACTTCTAAGGCAGTGCTCAAACTTTTTGCGCTAGTATGCAAACAAATGTCAACTAAGAAACAATTTTACTGAGATCTCCATCTGGAGTGCTGCATCTTACCACCTGCACAACAGGGAACATCAAATGTTAACAGATATTCCAACTTGCACAAATCAAAAAGTAACTTCTTGAAACAGAAATGTTTAGGACTAACATCCTCTACTTAAAAAGAACTAGAAGCAGAGAAAATATATTCTAAGCCAAAATGTGTTGCTTTTACTGAAGGGTAAGAAAAATCGCAATCCCATGTATTTGAGAAATGATTTACCACCACCACCCTCAGAGAATACAACCAGATAGAAAGGTACCTAAAAACTCCTCTTTACCCAAAGTTTTTATATGCTGACATTAACTTTGAGCCATCACAAAATAGGCAGAATATTTCATGTATCTGAAAAAGAGCCTGCCAGTAAAAGTGTCACCTGTCAAATTACTCAGTAAGGGAGAAGTGAAAATCTGCTTTTACTAAGAAATCCTAACTTTTTTTAAAAGTCACATTGTTTAATTAAAGCATTTTTTACTTAAGCATTCTTCATCTTAATTACAAAAGTACTTAAGGACCTTAGCGAACTAAGTAATCACTTTTTTTACTATTATTCCTGTTCTTTTTACAAAATAAGAAAATTAAACCAATGAAATGGTACCACAGTTCTAAACTGTTACTGATTCCTACCAACTGCTTAAGCCCATTTTTATGCTCTGGATAACTCCATGAACGAACTACAACATTCTGCCCTGAAACAGAACTGAGGAATGTTCATCCAGCTTCTTCAAAATATGCTGACTAACATACAAAGTGGTTATCAAAAGACTAACACAGAAAAGGAAAAAGTAAACACATTCACCCCTCCCTTCAGCGTTAAACATATTCATCATCTCTGTGACACAAACCAAATTCAGCTGGGTAAATCTTGCACTGTTGTGAACAGTGAAGTCAAATGCCAGTAGGATTACTTTTCTCTAAACAAGAATTCAGACACAGAAGTTAAAAATGGGTTTATGTATAGGTGAGGTCAAAGCTTTTCTAAAAGACAGTCTTCTGCTGTAGAAACAATGACCCAGGTTTCAGGTTCTATAGGTTTTTATAGTACTTCCAGGTGGAACCTAACAAAAGAAGGAGCACAGATGCTTAAAAAAACCTGTTAAATCTGGGATAATCTGTTAAAACACACTGGCCACTATGACTCTGCACAAAGTACCATATAAATTGAGAAAAAAACTTCACATTTTTTAAACCTAGCTTTTAACTGTTCAGTCCAAGGTAGAGTGACATTTCAGTAAATGCAGTCTGCTTAATGTGACACTGAAAACATTCTGCAAGCAATCTGAAAACACACAGCTCAAAAATGAAACTGCTAGGGCCCCAAAACTCAGAAACAGCTCCTCCCCTCTATGTGCTACTGTTCCCCAACCAGCATTTGGGCAAGGGGGCTGGCAAAGCAGAGAGGAGTGTATCCATCCCCACCACCACAGACAAGAACTTGAGTGGCCCAAGTGAGCCATTTCCTGCCTGGTCTACAGCCTTGTGTTGACAACCCCATTAGTAAATGTTTTCAGCTGAACCACCCTCAATTAGGTCCTTTGTCAGAATAAATCACAAAGTAAATGGACCAGGTAGAGTTGCCACATGTGACCTTTGCTTGCTTAGCTTCAGACAAAGGAGAACAGGGATCTGTTGCTTTGGTAATGACAACAGGAAAGCTGTCTTAATCCCCAAATCAGCTCCAATTCGTTTAACAACCGCAGCCCTCCATGGGGCTGTTCACACACTATCTTTGTCACAGACAAAGTTTTGTCAACAGCAGTGCCCACAATTCAACAGTCTGTAGCAGGGGCAGCCTGCAGGCTATGGGGCTTATCTCTGCAGACTTTGGAGTGTAGACATAGTAATATGTTGCTAAACAATCTCATCTCAACTTTTTTTTCCCAGGGATTAATACCCAGCAATGTCACATCAGCTGAGAATCTTTGTCTTGCAATGGCTCAGTAACCTTTGGCTGGCTAAAAATGTGTTTGCATGCACACCCTTACAAAACCACTACTCACAAACGGCACCAACTGCTGTATCTTTCATCCTCGGGAACTAGTGACAAATGACACCCAACCATCCTTACAGGAAACTGACATACCTACCCTCCATCACAATTTATTTTTTTTTCTACTTCTTACTACAAGCTACTTCTGGAAATGAAATACACTGTTTTATAGGAAAGGAAGAAGAAAAAAATCTGCATGCCCTAGCTAATTTCTTCTTAGTTGTGTCAGGTAATATTTTCATGCTAATTAAAAATGTATGATATTTTAGGTTACAAAGACAAAATTCAGACAAATTTACTAGTATTAAAATAAAGCTTACTTAGTTAGTATGAAATCCTTCACATGCTCATCCGTTCATTCTTATGACTCCTGAAATGTGTTTGTTTTGCAGGGTTTAACTGTCTAGTCTATTAGGTTTTATGTGTTTACATCCTTATTTTTTCAGTTAACTGAAACTACATCAAACAAATACAAACAAACTACATTACCAGCAACATGCTGTTTAAAGTTGCCTTTATAAAGTATACAGTTTCTGTAACCAGAGGAAGCAAAACTTCTGAGGTCCCAAACTCAAAAAATGCACATGCAGTTTCATAGGGCTACAAAGCACAGCATGTACTTGAACCAACTCCACTACTGACAATAAATTGTCAAGCTAAAGTCAGCAATTTTCATGGAAGATAAATCCAGTATGCACTGGAGTTCAGATGGCAATGAAAATACCAAGAGAAAACAATGACAATTCTTTATTAATTTACTTTTAACACTGCACCAGAAAAAAAAACAGCCACTTGTAAGCTGAAGAGTCTCCTCAATATTCAGCTCCCCCATGCACTCTTGTTCTTCAATTTTCATTTTTGAGACTGCATCACCAACTGCAGCTCTCTGCTATGTTTCATGCACTCTTTTTCATTTTTGAGACTGCATCACCAACTGCAGCTCTCTGCTATGTTTACTATTCTCTCCTGGATAGCTCCTCTTAGAAGCTCAACAGTAAACAGTGGCCAGAGATATACAGAACTACAACCCAACAAAACAGACCCTCACTCTGCAGCTCTCTGCTATGTTTACTATTCTCTCCTGGATAGCTCCTCTTAGAAGCTCAACAGTAAACAGTGGCCAGAGATATACAGAACTACAACCCAACAAAACAGACCCTCACT